GCTCGCGGTGGAAATGGGCGATATCGACATTGTTAAAGTCTTGATAAAAGCTGGTATGTATTAATTATAGCTAGAAACCATCTTCAGTAACTAGTAACTATATGTAATTGAATATGCATTAAATTGAATAATCTCTCGCAATGCTTCTGAACTGCAACGTCAATTCCTGTTTTATTTTCAAAGGAGCAAGAGTAGACTGCAAAGACAACTCCGGTAAAACCCCGCTACTGTTGGCTTTGGAGGATGGAAAATTCAAAATTGCAGAGTATCTTATAAAACACGGAAGTGATGTCAACGAAGTTGATGACCTTGGCCAATCTGCCCTCCATCTTGTTGTCTCCGGACAACACAATGATTGTGCTCGAATTATACGAATTTTGTTTAAATGCAGATACGTCATGAAAGATGTAGATAACTGGCTATCTCCCGAAGATTTAGCTGCTAACCAAAAACTTCAGTCGATTTATCTCAAGCAAATTCAAAATGCAAATGCTCCAGTTAAGGTCAATTCAATGGAGTCGATAGCCATCCCTAGGGAATGCTTTGAATCCTGAAGAGAGAGAGAGCATCATTGCAAGACATTATCCATATCCTAATGGAAAACTCCGGTGCCTGCTGAACGGTCCTATGCAGAATCGTGAGCTGCAACATCTCCGAATCACGACAGGATTTATTAACCGATGATTCTAAGATACGACTGGACAAGATTCCCGAAAATAATGAGAAATTGCTTTTTTAAAAGTTACTTTCCATATCTGTAAGTCGTTTATAAATTCTAAAGTGAATAAACTGTTTTAGCTTTTTATCTTTTTTCTGATTTATAGAGACATACCCTGTAATGACGATCAGATATCAAAATAAAAGACAAAATTCCATATTAAGTATTCGGTCTAAAGAGTTATATATGAAAATTAGCAAGATTAAAAATGGTAGAAAAGGAAATTGTCTTATATAGTGAAATGAAATACCGGTGATCCGTTCCAGGTACAACATGTTTAAGCAACAAAAAAATGGATGCTTAATGAAATTTATATCGAAAAGCAAACTTTATCGCCTAGCATTAAATGAAAAGGCACCTCCTTCAAAAGAAAAATTGCGTCTTTGCTTTCAAAATACTCAAGAAATATATACATTTTACATATTTATACGAAGCAAAAATATTAAATGGGATTTTTTTATTTGCCCTTTGCAATTCTTTTATTTTTCCTTATTCATAAACATTTATTTTCTAATATATTATTTACACTGACATAAACCTTAATTCATAGCTGTATTTGCTATATTTAATCTTCTCATTATCTTTTGAAAACAAGGTATTGATGCAAATAGTTCCTTTGTGTATTTGAAACAGTTTTAGTATGTCGTTTCTTCATGTTATATAGCCATTGAAAATTCCTGAGAACAAAAACTGAGAAGAGGTGTCTTGTAAATACATGTAGCTAGATGCATCACGTAAGGCTCCAATTAAAAAACTCTAATCGTAATGATCTAAAAATTATCAAACGTCTTTGCTGAAGACCAAGAAATGATTAAATGTTACAGCGTTGTGCTCTAAGCCTAGACTTAATTCCAGAAGTGAGGTTAACCACATACAGCGGCTTCTGTCAGCTGATTTCTCCTACGACGATTAAGCCCAAAAAGCCACCAATACTATATGTGGGTTGCTGTTTAAAATGCAAATGATATTATTATGGTAGTTAATTGTCACTCGTAAACGAATATTTATTTTCTCCTTGAAAAATAGACACAAATACTGAATATGACATTATCTTGTCTTTTCTTGACACATCAGTGTTGGTGACACGTGTTTATGACGGGGATTACATTTTGTATTTTTTCATATAAGTTTGTGACAAATAAAAACTTATATTTGATATTAATAAAGATTAAGCCAGAAAAGAAAGCAACATTCAACTTCATAAGAATCCTTACAAACAATGATACATTGCGGGTTCCAGTAAATTTTCAACCAAGCCTCTTCCTTTACTCCTCACTAAGATATTGACAGTAGAGAAGGAAAAACTTCGAGTACTGTGTAATAATATATATATTCAAGAAGTGGTGTGAATCAGATGTAGATAATCAAAAATTTCAAACAACTTTTGGACAATTTGAAATCACAAGATTTTACCAAAATCAACAGCCTAAAACTTTATACACAACCATCCCCCACGATAAATTGAAGTCCAGGCTTATTCGTATCATTGACAGCTGCTTTTCCAATAAAAATGGAACTCGTCAATTCGTCACGCTCTACGTATAAACAATTTCTAAAACGAGGTAAATTATTACAAACAAGTTGACGAAACAAGAATATTAGCAGTCTCATCATATATAAAGTCATCATTTCGTAAGTTGTATGGTCGATACAATGACCTTGACAGAAAAATACAATTTAAATTCTGACTGAGGTTTTTTTCGTATTAATTGTTATTCCATTATTTATACACTACATGTAAATTGACGACGGACTTTTCCCGCTATTCCTCGATCATGACAAGGAGCACACGGCGGATGTGACCGGTCGGCAAGGGGCTGCTCACTCTTCTGTGGCACCTGTTCCCACCTCTGATGTTTTGGGGGTCCGTGTTTGCTCTGCTCCTATTTTGTTTTGTTTTATGGATTTTGATATTGAATACTGTTTGTTATTTCCACATCCTTCATGCTAGTAAGCAAATATGTAAAGAATTCCTTAATTACCTATAAACCTCTATAGCTATCGTCCATATTTAGCAAAAGAATAATGTGGTTTTTGATATCTACAAAACACCACATGTACACCTAACCAATGAATGGGTTTTACAGCAGGTGTGACAAGACAACAGAGGATTCTTACTCCTCCTGATCCTGATCCCAACGTAAAAATAAGTATATATTTCCTGGTGTTACTGTTTCTTTGGTGTTTTTTTTTTTATAATATCGACGGTCATTGCTCTGCGTAATACCTAATTTTTAGATTACTCAAATTCTTCGTGGTCCATATTAACTGAAAGAAAATTTCATCAAAAATTGATGTCGTCCGCATCTTGTATGTTTCTTAAAACTATTTAAAAGCGGACTTTTTACAAGGTGTGCCTCACATTTATTTATTCACTTTTTTCGAAGAATTGTCCTGTGATGTGAATATTCGTGTTGACGATAGATACATAATACATCATTGTACGTATAACAAGAAAACCTCAGGATATGATACTGGGATATCGATATGTAATAAATCATAATATGCAGAAAATTGTGGTTTACCTCAAGGTTGCTTCTTAATACTTTAACAGAAAAACATCTACCACTCACAAAGTATTAGTGTATCATTATGTAGCAAGCTTAGAATTCAGTTTTTTAAAATCTTCCTACAATGTATATATACCTTTTGTTAGTTATAGTGCATGTATACATGCAGTTTTTTAAAGGATACTCTAAAATGTTTCAGCATGATAAAAAAACGAATGTACATATTAATATTATAAATCTCAGAGAAGAGTTTTCCAAAACATAAACACAGTTGAAACTAATGAATTTTACGTCAGATTTATGGATGTAAATGTCAAAAAAGAAATTATCTTCAAAATAAAAGCAATTGAATCATTAAGTATATACTTCCCGTCCTTTAAATTATTTTGTATAAAAATATCTAAGACAACCCACGGCAACTTTTTTTTTACTAGATCTTAAAAGCTCTTTGAATAGTAATGAACAAAGGTGAATTCTATGGTTTAAAAAACAATTGTAAATATTATTCACAAAATATCACAATATTCAACATTTATGTTGCTCACAAAAACTAAAGCATGTCTATTTAAGTTTTCAAGTTCTTTAAATTAATAAATTAAAGTCCAGGCTTTTTGATATCATTGACAACTGCTTTTTTCGATAAAACAAAAAACCTCGTAAATTTACTTACTTGTCATTGGTCATTTGCAAAATCATTTTCTTAAAAAACATTCTGATAGTAGATACAAATATTCTGAAGCTGACATCAAAACGACGCTTGAGTTTCTGATCGACAATACATGTATCTATTTGGTTTTCGGAGAGCAGGTCTTCCAACAATATTGGAATTCCATTGGGTACAAATTGCGGCCTGTTCGTTTATATGAAGCAGACTTTGTCTTAAATCCAATACGTGAAAAGAAGAATAAACTTCATGTGGCATTCAACTCGACATTTTGATATATCGACGACGTATTGTCCATTAACAATAGTTATTTCAGTTCTCATGTCGATTCGATATATCCGGCTGAGCTTGAGATTAAAGATATCACAGAGACTGACACATCTGTTTCATAATTGGATATTTTAATTGAAAAAGACGTTAATGGTAATCTAACAACCAAGTTCAATTATAAACGTGATGACTTTAACTTTTCAATCGTCAACTTCCCTTACTTATTTAGTAATATACCTTCATCACCTGCCTACGGGGTTTATATCTCGATTTCTGTTGATTCGATACGCAAGAGCACGCTCTACCTATGAACAATTTCTAAAACGAGGTAAATTATTACAAACAAGTTGACGAAACAAGAATATCAGCAGTCTCGTTTAAAGACATCATTTCATAAGTTGTACGGTCGATACGATGACCTTGTCAGCAAATACAATTTATTATTGAGTTAAATTCTGACTGACGTTTTTTTTTTCGTACTAATTATTATTCCATTATTTATACATTAAATTGACGACAGACTTTTTCCGCTATTCCCCGATCATGGCAAGGAGCACACGGCCGCTGTGACCGGTCGGCAAGTCGGCACTCTTCCGTGGCACCTGTTCCCACCTCTGATGTTTTGGAGGTCCGTGTTTGCTCTGCTCCCATTTTGTTATGTTTTATGGACTTTGATATTGAATACTGTTTGTTATTTCCACATACATCAAGCTAGTAAGCAAATGTGTAAAGAATTCTTTTATTACCTATTAACACCTATCGTCCATATATAGCAAAAGAATAATGTGGTGTTTGATATCTACAAAACACCACATGTACACCTAACCAATGAATGGGTTTTACAGCAAGTGTAACAAGACAACAGATGATGCGTACTACTCCGAGGAGTATATATTTCCTGGGGTTACTGTTTCTTTGGTGTTTTATTTTAAATAATGTCGACGGTCATTGCTCTGCGTAATACCTAATTTTTAGATTACTCAAATTCTTCGTGGTCCATATTAACTGAAAGAAAATTTCATCAAAAATTGATGTCGTCCGCATCTTGTATGTTTCTTAAAAGCTGACTTTTTACGAGGTGTGCCTCACATATATTTATTTACTTTTCTTAGAAGATTTGTCCTGTGATGTCAATATTCGTGTTGACGATAGATACATAATACATCGTTGTACGTATAATAAGAAAACCTCAGGATATGATACTGGGATATCGATATGTAATAAATCATAATATGCAGAAAATTGTGGTTTACCTCAAGGTTGCTTCTTAATACTTTAACAGAAAAACATCTACCACTCACAAAGTATTAGTGTATCATTATGTAGCAAGCTTAGAATTCAGTTTTTTTAAATCTTCCTACAATGTTTATATACTTTTTGTTAGTTATAGTGCATGTACAGTATACATGCAGTTTTTTAAAGGGTACTCTAAAATTTTTCAGCATGGTAAAAAAAAGAATGCACATATTATTATTAATAATCTCAGAGAAGAGTTTTTCAAAACACAAACACAGTTGAAACTAATGAATTTTACTTCAGATTTATGGATGTAAATGTCAGAAAAAATTATCTTCAAAATAAAAAGCAATTAGATAATTAAGTATATACTTCCCGTCCTTTCAATAATTTTGTATAAAAATA